GCCTCGGAGACAGCCTCAGCTTCTGTATTGGAGCCTAAATACTCTGGTCCTGGGCTGCCCTGCTGCTTTCCCGCTTGTTCTCCCACTGAATCCAAGTATCGACTGGCAATAAATGTCCTGCTTTGCCCAGATAAGCGTGTTGTCCAGATGCTGTGCAGTGTCACGTAGACCTTGAGATGCCTTGATGGTTGCATGGGAGCTGTGGTCATGCCTGCGTTACCCTGTGCACCTTCTGGACAATGAAAATGACTCACTTGTACAGTTGCCTGTTTGATAGTCACCAATGGCTGCGTCCTGTGAGCACTGAAGCAAAGGTAAAGCTTCCCTCTGACTTTATGGCACAGGGCACGATCCCTGAAAGAGTCCCTGCTGAGATACTGATAAGTACGTAGCACACCTCTGCAAACTCACAGACCAAACCTTGACCTGATGCTGAAATCTCGTCCTCCTAATCCTTTCTCTTCCTTTCAAGCAAATGGCTAGGGTCACCTCTCAGCTGCTGAAATCCATCAGCATGCAGGAGCCCTGCCTGTAGGCACTGCTAAGAATAGTGTTTAGAACGGAGGTGAAGAGAGGAGTGAGCCTGAAGGGGATTTGGCCACTGCCACCATCAGTTAGACTCCACCTTGTTTCCTACAAGCAGCAGCAGCCGAGGCTGTGCAATGCTCCTACCTGACAGTCTTCTGATCCTTTGAATGCTGAAGTTAATCACACAGCTGCCGAAAACCCAGTGCTCTTGCTTTGCTATGGCTATTTCTATCCTGCTACTATCTCCCTCACCTCTCAGGCTATAAAGCTGCTAGGAGCACGGAGTCTCACCCATCTGTCTGCATGTGCTGAGCTGCAGGCTCCAGAAACAAACTGCAAATGAATCTCTTAGAGGCAGCAGCCATGGATCAGCAAAATGCCATAGAAACCACGGCTGCATTACAGGACAGCCTTTTCTTGGGCATTATGCAATAGGTAATTACGTAAGTTGGCATTATATAATATCCTCAGCTTTTTCGGAGCGCCAGCCTCCCCCTGCCCGATCATTTCCCCGGCAGAGCAGTGTGTACCAGGCTCACGTCACGCCACGCTTCATACAACCCAGGGTCACGGCAGAGTTGGGGCCGCTGCCACCGCTGCTCCCAGCGGCAGGGCCCTCTGGCTGCTCTCAGGGCTTTTAAAAAAAAATTGTATTGTGGCAGAAAAGGCTCACTGAAAAGATAGATTGTCCCTCTGAAGTGTTTTGCTGTGTAAGCACATGAGATGGTTTGGGTTGTTTCTTGAGGAAAATGGATGTGCGTTGTTTTTTTGAGCATATCTCTCTTCTCTTTTCTGGAAAATTTATTTCATGATCTTGCTTAAAATGAAACAAAATCTGGTTTCTGCTAGTCTCTCTCTCTTAGGCACTCATTTGCCTATTTGCAGAAGGTCTGGCTGCAGAGAAGACAGGACTAGAAATCATTAGTGATTTGTTATATTAACTGCCAAAGACTGCTGGGCTCTCCAATGTTCACTTTACAGGCCGAGGCTGGATTTCTCTCTTCACAACACCAATACTCCAAGAAAAAAGTTGAATGTGGCCAAATAGACTTGGAGCTGGTCCCTCCCCATGGCTGATGTGCAATTCCTGCCGTACCTCCCAGCTCCGCCTGGGCGGCTGTGCCCTGTATTAATAACCACCAAACAGCTGGTGTTTCTAAAACTATACCCAAAAGCCAGTCCGTGCTTTTTTGCCTGTGTGTCTGTGGGCTCAAGCAAGTTGTAGAACTTCTCTGATCCCTTGTAAATGGGTAAAATAAGTGGCTTTTCCATTTGTGGGATTATTTGTAATGCCTCTAGAAAGGTTTGCCACCCGCTGAGGGAGAGACAAGGCAGAGGTGAGATTGAATCCACTGTTTTGCCAGAAATGGCTCTTTCCGTGCCTTCTGTGCCCATTAGATATGCAGACCTTTCCTAAGTGCTTTTTGGTAACTTTTTGGGGTAGAAACAAGTCCCACAAAGCCCCTAGGGTGGTCTTCCTCCTCAGCAGTACCCCAGGGTTTGGCTGTGGCTCTGATGCTCTCTCATGGGATCTTTCTCTGCCCCGAACCCACCACCCCAGCCCTCTCCAGTGCTCAAGGCTGGGGGGAAGGTGCAGCACCCTCCCAGTGCCAGCGACCTGCCGCAAGGCTGGGAGCAAAGCAAAGCCTCCCGGGCAGCCTCACCAACATGGGCCCTTTCTGTGGGAAACAGACCGTCTCTACGCCCTGCACTGCAAACGAGTCCCTTACAAGAGTTCTTCCATCTTTCACCCAAGCACGACGAGAGCTCTGCGGCTCTGCCCGCACTGCGTGTCCTGAGGTCACTCTTCTGTCTCCGAAATTGGAAGCATACATGTTGGCCTCCTCTCCCAGCCTCTGAATCCCGGGTAAGGGCTTGGACTTGCCCTCTAGTCCCCGTGGCTTTGTCGCCCGTGGCCGCTAGATGGTAGCAAGCCCTGGCCGACG